CACATCCACCTGCCTCCTAATCGCCTCTGCTGCTTTGCTCCAAGAAAGTTGTGATGTGCTTAGACCAAAACCACCACACCCATCCTGTACCTGCCCTACAGAACCCCTGTGTTTAAGAGCTGCCTGATCCTGCAACACTGCCTCCTTCACATTCCACTTCCTCCCCGCTGAGACTGTTGGTGCTGCACTCTGCACCACTGCATCCCTGGATTCTGACAGCATAATCTCCAGTCTAGCTTTAGAGAATTTAAATTCCTCTGGTGATCTGGTTACAGGGAGCTCCAAAATCCCTTTTCCATACAGGGCCATACCGCTGAGGCAGCACAGAGCCCCCAGCAGCTTCCTAATGTACATGCTAACCATTGTCTCTGCCTTTGAAATTGGTACATCAGACACTGTCAGAGGCCATGACAGCAGTTTGAGTTTGTCTGGGAGGCCTGACGCCTCCATGCTCTTAATCCCATCAACTGTCTGCTGTCTCAAGCCCTGAATCTGCTCTTTATCACCAAGAGCTGCATTCTACCACCTGCCTAAACTTTTGACTGGCTTCTCAAACACTGTTGGAATCGGCTCATCATTTATACAAAGCCTTTTACCTGACAGCTCACCCTTCACTACTGGTTTGTGAACTTGCTTTGGAGTTCTTCATACACAATGTCTAAATGAGAAAACATTTATCCTACTCTTCTGTGGCTCTGACAAAATAAAACTGGACATCAACTCCTCGATTCCTTGATTAACCATTAAGGAAGCCTGACATTAAGGTCAGCTTGGGGAGTCTGAAACTCCAGTCAGAGTTTAAGCTCTGAATGTAATGCTGCTGTGTGCGTTTCATTCACCTGACATAAAGCAGGTACAGTATCCGACTCATCTCAATCACTCTGAGAATGGAAGTGAAACAAAATGAGCCAGAGTTGTTTCAGCTGCTAATTATTATCGGGTAGTGTTTTGTATTTACTCTATGAGACATCATTTATGAATCAAATTTCATACTTTGAACTATAACCGACAATGCGGTAGGATTACACATTGCTTGACCCTGAAGGCCACACCGGTGGGAAAATAAGGAGTTACTTTCCGGTCACACCATTTGATTTTGTATTTATTTACTGAATAGTAATTTAAAGTTATGACCAGGAAAGGCACATTGAGGTCACTTCCTGTCAGAGTAAGAATAGTGGCACATTGTTAAGTGCCGTGCAGCACAACAGTGCTGGAGCTCTCACTGCTGTAGGTGACCGTCTCTTTTGTGCAGTTCTGCTCGCTCCCTATTTATGAAAACAATAACACTGTATATCAGGGAAGTAAACAGCCAAAGGTAAATGTTAGGCCGACTTCTATTATTTCGTGTAAACCCCTGAGATATCAAGTATCCAGACAGTTTACTTTTTATCGTTATTTATTTGTGTTTCATACATCATGCTCCACAGCTGACTGAGCCTTGTTCAGACTCTCAAAGATAGAAATGCGATGTGGAAACAACAAAAACACAAACACAAACATAATCCGTGCTTCTGAACTATAACCGGAACCCCTGGCTTTTATCGAAGCTTCTGGGAACCTGACGTTCAAACAGACTCAGCTCTGGTTCCAGACCTGTGATCCTCAGCATGTTTTGTCTCGCGCTGAAGCTGAGTCTTCCTGCTTCACACAGACCCCTGCTTAGCCAGACACAACCACAGAAGCTGCTCAGATGCTTCTACACAATAATGAAGCCAGTATCAAGCTAATCAACATGCCTGGGCTTTGCCAGTTCAGAGTTATGGCCGATCTGCACCAAGTGGAAACTCACTTTTCTCCTGTGTATTCAATTCTTAAGCTGAAGTACCAGAATAATGGGAACATTGCTGGGCATTCTCTCATGATGCTCTGTGCTCCTCTCCATGCCACCATTACATGCCACTAACCTTGTGTGTCCTCTCTCCCATACTGTGTCCTCTTTGTTTGTAGTGTCTTGTTGGTTTTCTTTTCTCTCTCCTCTATCCACTCACCCCAACCGATCGAGGCAGAAGGCATTAAAGGGAGTTTTTCCTCCCTGCTGTCACCAAGTACGGGGGGGGGGGAGGCCAGGGGAAAGGAGCCACTCACATAGGCAGATCTGGTGCTCCCCTCAGCTTTATGTGGGGAGACTGATGCTGAGTCGGTCTCTTTCTGGTGCCGTCTCATAGGCCCCAAATCCCACACTGAAGTGTTAATAATCAAATTAAGGTGCCTCGGCCTCAGTTCCTAGCATCACACATTTAAAATGGCCATTGCCAACAGAAAGACAATGGAACTCTGAGGAAATCAGTCGATGACACCGTTTCTGTCCCCTCTTAAAACACCTGCTTGTCAGTCATTTCAACAGCAGTATTTTGGTGCAGATTTAACAGCTTTACTTTGAAGCTCTGCCAGGTATATTTCACCCATCTTGTCAGACGGCACATAATTTTCTCCTGAACCACAACCTCTTTGCTTTCTTTGAAATTTTCTTCTCCTTGTAGATATATCTTCTAGCAGACCTGTCAGTATTTTTCAGAGCCTCCTGCCTGGGCCCTGTGCAGCTGACATGCTGTGGCAGCCTGCTTGCATTGGTGGCATTATTTGGCAAAATCCAAAGCAGTGGAGTGGACTGGTGGTTTGCGTTGTCAACAAACAGGTCACATCCAAAGTCAAACTGGGTATACCGAGTGCTTGACCTGAAAGAATTTTATAAAATCTTATGGCATTTCTGGACATTATTTGGCCACTAGAAACACTACAGAGATTCTGGATGTCCTGACTTCCTTTCTGATACAAAAATAAAAGCCCTGCAGACTGATAAACACAACCTGAACAGCAGATTATAACATGTGGGAAGATGCAACTTTCTACTTTTAAGCAGGTTAAACAGAAGGTTTGTAAGCAGTATGCTGCTATTATGTCACATCGTGAATAATTCATCTCCTCTGTGTGCAGGCAGAATTAGATCTCACTGTGCTGCTGACCAGATGAATCATATCCCCAAAAGAGGTGTCTCCATTTCCAGCATCTGCTCACTGGCAGCTTACACCGTGTACAACCAGATACTCGAGTATCTCACACTTTACAGAGAAAGAAAACAGGTACAATGATCTGAGAAGATTCACTGACTCCTGTTCATCTTCTGTGTTTGCTGTAGCTCATGTTTAAAAAACTGAGCTAGTACAAAAGAGTATGTAAAAATATTAGACTATAGAAACTGCTGTAGCTTAAACAACTAAAAAGGCCTACAAATTCAAGGTGATTTCAACTAACAGCAAGTGAAAACAGCTGCCATGACCAACATGAAGTCAAGCAGTGTCCTGCACTGTGCCGGTGTCTCTCTCATTTGAGCAAAAAAAAAAAAAAAAAAAACCAACCAAAAAATTTGGGCATTCATTGCATCTTTACATCTTTTGATTTTGAACTACTGGTTGGACAAAACAAGATATTAGAAGAAGTGGTCTTGGGCTTTAAGGAACTGTGGTGTTTCCCTCATTGTTTTAAAGAAGCAGCTGATTCAGTAAATAGTCGGTTGATCTCTTAAAGTAAACCAACCTACATAATATTTTTTCAGGTTCACACAGAAGTATCTGCCACCCTATGATCATCTTGAAAAGAAGCTAATGAACCAAATAGTTTGTGATATCAATCGCAACTTGAATGCATACTAAGTATAGTTTGGTCAGAGGTGCTCCCCTGGAAGTTAGATCTGGTTTAACACGACACCGCCAGTGTAGGCTCGACCCTTCCAGTGAGAGTGGGAGCTGAAGTTAATGGGACACTGGGTGGTGGCAGTGGTGGTAGGCACAGTCACTTGAACCTGAGCCTGGCCAGGGGGCTTTTCTGATTGACAGAGGGGGGTTGTCCTTATATTTAGGTCCAAGCTTTGTGCAGCAGAGATTTGCCTCTTCATCGCACTAACATGTGAGAGAATATAAGAAACATGCTGGAATACAAAGGTGTCACTCAGCTAGCTCACGGGCAGTAATAGATAAAAGTCCCCACGGATTCAAAAAGGCCACTGCATTGTGGAAACATTATGAGCCTGTTGTGACAACACAAACTTCATCCACAACCCCTAGTCTTATAGAACATGCAGTGGTGCCTGTACATTGTGCTGTGGCTTTCAGCTGGCCTGCACTCATGTTCAGCTGAAAAAGACGCTTGGAGTTTACCAGCCATCTTCATCTGGTCGTGAAAATCAAGGCTGATCCACCAACCGGTCTAAGAAATCAGTTGAAGAAAACTCTCTGAACATCTCGGCCACAGAGGAGCTTACAGTATAGTACATGTACACTACATACAGCATGTACAGTAACGTTGCATAATGTAAGACAGAAAGAGGGACAAGGTTAGAGGCAATGGTGTCCGATTTGTTTAGATTATAAATAACTAAACTTAGATACCACAAAACAACAATTTTGAAATTCCAGACAAACCCAAATTTGTCTTCGGGTAAAAACACATTTCAGAGTCGCCTGATTTTGTGAGTCATAACAACGCTAAAAGTTACAAGAACCACGTTCCAGAAAATTATGCAACACAGCTCATACTGC